GCAGCCAGGGCCGTGCCCGGCTCCCTGCCAACGGCCTCCTGCAGGGCCCCGAAAAGCGGCGCCAGGGCCCCGGGGGGCCCCGAAAAGCGGCGCCAGGGCCCCGGGGGGCCGCAGGCGCTGCATCTCCAGGGCCCCTCCAACAACTCTTCCCTTACGCTCGCACTGCAGAAGCGGCGGCGCGAGCAGCACGGCAGGCGCGGGCGGAGGACCTGGAGAAAGTGGATATTGAGCATGTGGAGAAAGTGCTGCCGCAGCTGGTATGTAACTGTAGAAGCTGACCGGCACCTGAACAGGATAAGGATGTGGGCTGAAGCAGCTTAATCCTCTTCCTTTTGGGGGATGTTCAGGGACCCAGCAGACGTGCTGACTGGCTTGCTGCTCTCTCCTTACAGCTTCTAGATTTCTAGAGGCCTCACGGAGCACACGTGGCCTGCCAGCAGAGGATCCTGACCTGACAGCGAACATCGGGCGCATCCTCAGAGCCTGGCTCTAGGAAGAACAGTCCCAACTTCTCTCTCTGCCCTTTTGCTTCTGTTTCTCCTCTCCTTTACCAAGCATGACAAAGCCCTAGGCAACTGTGCCATCAGATGCCGTTTTTGAAAAGAGGCCGCCGCGCGCTTGTTTTGTAACTCGTTTCCATCTTGCTGCCTCACTCCTTTAACAGTGGCCTGTACTTCACAGCATGGTAAGATGCTGTTGCTTTCTCAGCTAGTGTGAGAAACAGGTGCTGCTGCACAGAGATGCATGGAAAGACTTAATGGCTGGAAATGTCGTCCAAACGTCAGGCTCTCATCACCTCAGCAGGCAGCTGCGGCAGAAACGTTAGGTCCAGCTCCAAGGCTGTCTAATGAATAGGTTGTTAACAGGAGCTCAGTCACGGGCTCTTGCCAAAAGCAGGTAACTGATCTTTATTTTATAAATAAACAGTGTCTGTCGCTCACTACCTTCCAGTATTTCTCCAGGGCTGTGACATCAAAGAATGCTTGGAACCTTTTAACCATTTGATATTCTTCTCAGAAGCTGCTTCCCCTCTGCTATAAATTTGTTCTCACAAAGAAACATCAATAAATTAAAACAGAGTCACCCTCCCTTGTGTAGGCTCTTTGCTGCAATTAATCATCGAAAGTCAAGTTGCTTCAAAGACTTGCAAAGTTTCCCCCTCACCCACCCTCTTCGCTGAATCTTTGTAGGACGAAAGGAAAAAGGACAGAATAACAAACAGCATGTGTGAGAATCCCACATCATGGGACAGCCGGGCCCCTCAGCCAGCAGGGGAGCCGGGGGGGAAGCTGTGAAATAAGAAACCGTACACATGTAGGCAGGACCCACACAACTGAACTGGCTTTGTTGGGAAATACATAGCCGGCTGCACGAAAAGCAGCTGACACCAGCCTGTCTTGAGGATTGCACACTCTGTTGTTGGCTATCTGTAGTCTTTATGATTAGTAATAGCGAGCAATTTTTTTCCCATTGACAGCTGTAGCAGGCGAAGGCTCAGTAGGTCACCGTACTCCTTCAGCCACGGGCTATCAAGGTCATCGCTCAGGACACCAGCCACTTGGAAGCTTCAACTAAAACCACAATTTAATACACATTCTTTCTGATGACAGTACCAGCTTAAGCAGTGCCCCATCCCTCTGCGCTGCAGCCTCTTTGCCAAGACAACTGTTTGTGCAGCTGTACAATGAAACCAATGAAGGAACTGACCTAGTTCAGCCTTCAGCCGCACAACCATATGGTAAAAAAAGGCAATAGCAAAAAAATCCAAGTAATACTACCTTTGAATGCCCCAAAACCCCAGGGATGAGTTTAGCTACTATAGCAGAAGTGATATTGAAACAAATCCAGCTCATCAGGTATCTGCATGTATGGTTCTGTGGCAGAGCAGGAATCCTTGTAGCAACTACCTTAATGAAGAGCCTGCAGTTTTAAATATCGGGGCATCTTGTCCCTCGTAAAGAATGGACAAGCATGGGCAGAACTGACTGAGGTAATGCACGGAGTTAGCAATATGAAGTCTCCTAATCCTCATCCCTGTGCTTAACCCACGAAACTGCCCCAGTAATAATGATGTTGCTGCTTGTGTCCCTAAACTTTTCCTTCTGTTTTCCCACATCAGGTACTTGCAGGTGGTAGTTACGGTGCTAGCTCTTTGTCAAAACTGGTGGAATCAAAAAGGCTAAGCAAATCAGCGTTTGCCTGATTTGACGTTGCCTGTGCTCTTCAAAAAACAAGACTAGCACATCTGAAAGCACACAACTTCCTACCAACCAGACTGCTTCTGTTTATTCTAACCCTGTGAATCGAAAACACCAGCACAATTACACCATCCCCTATCATTAGCTATGGCTATTAGTTGGCCCCCAATATCCTGCATAAAATTCAGCAAAGCAGCTCCAGCTACAGTCTGCCTCCGACTTCTGTGAAATGAATAAGCCTTACATAGCACCTGAACCAAGATACAGATAGTCCTCTGGAGCGTAGGCTCAGCCCACGCTTAATCCACTGAAGTAATAAACCTTAAACATTATTTTAATAATTTTTGTTTTGCTGTAGTATGTCTTTTATAGCCTGGCAAGTGCCAGAAGGGCTTGCTTTCCGCAGTACAGATTTACAGCAGCAGCTGTACGCAGTGCTCTTGCATTCCCCACTGCCAGCGGCCGCACACATTCCCTGTTTATGTTTGGGTGTCATATAAGAAATCAATCAACATTTTTGCTAAAGCATTCTGCTCCCTCCGCTTTGAGTCTCCTTTTTCCTCTTCCACCTTTCTTTCATGCCTCCCCCTCCCTCTGAGTTTCTTCAAAGCATCTGGGAGCATTTGGAAGTAATTAGACCTGAAGCGAAATGTTGGCCAGGCTGGGAGACAATGACAAGTGCCAGGAACCCTGGGTGCCCTTTCTAGCCACTTTGAAGTTCATTCAGATGGTACAAAGCTCCGTTTTGCTTTGTTGAAAAAAAAAAAAAATGGGAGGAAGGGAATGAGGCATGACAGGCCCATTGAAAAGGGAGCAGGTTCCTGTGAACTGACAGAGAAACTGAGTACTGGGGGAAGAAGCATATTATCAAAGAGACCGACAAAAAGGCCTCCTATGGCCACTCTGCTTTATTACATCTACAAATTGTGCAGATGCACACGTAGTTCAGGGAACAATTGTCTATACAGGGAAAATGGAAAACATGTTATCACCGTAACACGGAACCCCAGCTGTCCAATATGAATCACTGATCCATGGAGGAGACTTCAAATAAAATACGGCACCATGGCTACTGTGGCACTATAGAGTTCATCTCCAGTATAAGCACAATTCTAACCAACAATATTCATTCCAGTACAGCATCTGCAGGAGGCAAAGAGCTGGACTAGTGCTTCCCTCTGTACGCTAACTGCACTGCAGAGAACGGCTACTCTGCTGTGGAAACATTCGGACCACAGAAGTCCACAGATCGAAGGTCACGTGAAGAGACCCTTCTACTGGATGGTTTTTTTTCCTCACTGTACCTGTGATTGCTGATGTTAATTACATGTAGTGAAAATAAAACACAGAGCTTGGGGCAGAAACCAACTCCACATGCATTCCATTAACAGATACCTGTGTTCTTCGTTAGCAAGATTCTGGCAACTGAAAACAAGAGAAGTGCAGCAGACCAAGAGGTTCACAGGAAAAGCCGATTTGAACTGGTTTAAGTGACCTAAGTGGTTGCTCTTCACTCACTTTCCAGCCATCTATGCCCAGAATTATCAGCAGCACTAACCCTGGCCAGCAAGAAGCAGAGAGAAGTCTTGTTCTAGGCAGCATTTAACTATAGGTAAAACTGAATCGGATTGTATCTTGCTGCTAGAATTCAGGCAGCTAGACTCAAGTTATATCTGAAGGCAGAGCTGGGAAGATTTGAATTTAAAAATATGGATAGAAACAAAGTCCTTCACAGAAAGTAAATAGGAATTACTTCCCCCTTGATTCTCTATTCATACTATTGGCATGCAAGAAACCTTAAATTTAACCTCTAACCTTGCTTCTGTAGTCACAAAGACCACAAACAGGCCTTCCACTCCCCCAAAAGGTGAAACTGGCATCTGAAATAGCAATTTTCTATTTATAACTAATGTTCATACAGATTAGAACTCTCCAGGGCCACCAACCATTTCTTACACATTCTGAATAAGTTCATCAGGAATGAGGCACAGCTGACTGCTCACTGATCCAGCAGCCCAGAATGTTTCATCTCTTCCCACCTACAAAATAAAAATAAGAGCATTAAAACACTTAACCACGTAATTTGCACTGTAGCGTTTCTGAATAACGTGATCTGGTTGCTGAGGGTTCTATACACTGCTGTGCTCAGGCGACAGTTGGGTGGCACGTAGGAGCACTTCTTAGGGAGATGGAATGGTGAATACGTAACTTTCGGAGCAGGGAACTTCATCCTACATGTTATTAACATGCATGTTAGGGCATGTTATTAACCTTTCATACCAGCTGCTGATGGGTGAGCTGCATGCATAGGTGAGATGTTATTTCGTACTTTATCCAGATAATCTTTACTTGGGAAAGAAAGTTCTACTCTTAAGTGGAATGCTTCAAGCATAATGGAAACGGGAAACAGTAAAGATGCTGTTTCCCCCATGATGTGCATCAGTATCCCAGTACCAGTCTAAAGCAGACCAGCCGCAGCAGGGAAACACACCAACCCACTGCTTGCAGCCTCCCAGCAATCATTTCACACCTTATGCTATGCTTGCTGGAGCTGATGGCCTCACATAGCTTCCAGAATCGAATACTAAAATTCTCATTCAGGAGTTAACATTTGGCATTATTAGCCAGGGAATTCCACATAATTCTTCCTAGTTTTATTGCCGTTAAGGGGGTTGATTGAACGTCTTTTTTTTTTTTTCCTCCCCCCTTCCTCTACTCCTCTTTGCCACTGCATCAAAAAGTTAATATTGCCAATTGTTTAATTCAGGAATCCTTCTTCTAGTTACTCCCTATTTTGTACAAATTCTCATATAAAACCACACAGAAGTTACTGGTTCTGAGACTAAAAACAAAGTTGCAGTTTTCTGATCAGGATAAACCAAGAAAGAATTCATAATGGAAACTTGGTTTCAATCTTAACTATGGAAAACCACTGCTGTTTTGCAGTGAAGATTAAAAACAGAAAGCCCAACTCAAAAAAAATCAAGAGAAAGGAAAGTACTAAAACAGACTATACCAGCAAAGTAGAAATAACGACAGAGGTTTAACAGATGACATGGGCCCTTGGTATGTAGAATATCATGCCTATTAGTATTTGAACTACACTAGCACAGTTAAGAACTCAACACATTAAGCCCAGAACATAGTCAAGAGTGCTGCAAGCATATGGATTAGACATCAGACCCAACACTTCCCAGAGCCTGCATTCAAATACTTCTCCAGTGAAGGCTGAGGTTTAAGTCATAAACTGATTTGTGACTGACAAGCATTGAACCAAATGTCCTGCAAGCCTTATGTTGACATCTTCAAGAATATTGCCAACATCCAACACGTTTGGCACAGAGGAGCCTGCCTTTCCGGGGAGTTCAGAATGAGAAGAGCGCTCCTCTGATTTCATGATACCTGGCAGCTTCAGCCATTTGGGTATTTTCCCAGGGGCCCTTCTCAACACCTGCGGAGCTTCCTGCACGCTCGGTGGTTCTGGCTGCTCATCCGTCTTTTTGTCACTCCCCACTTCTGGTTCAGACAGGGACGGAACTGTTGATTCTAAAGACGATGAAGTAGAAGGAACTACTGATTTGGACAAACATCTGAGGAAGAAAATAAGCAAGTAGAATTAAGCTTCATTTTTTCATAATAGACCCTTGTACCACTACCACCTTTAAACTTTTAAAGTCAAATGAAAAAGGCTCCTCTTCTTCATGATAAAAGCCCTAAGATTTACTTGATTTAGTCACTGAAATCCTACTTTGCAAAGGACTCACAAAGCTATGAAGTCAAGTAGGACAGTATGTTTCAGGAGAAAATGAAGTCCTAGTATCTTCAGAGCACATTTCTTTGTAGTAAGATGGGCTTGTTTCATGTTTCCCATCCCTGAAATACTAACCCATTTGCAACTCTATTCAACGTACCTGGCTACTAACAAATCAGCTGCAGAAGGGGAAACGGCAGAGCTCAGCAGGTCCGATTTCAGGTAACAGTCTGTTTAAAAATGAAACCCAGACACTTGTTTGGTAACATAGAAACATCAATCACCACAGAATCACGTAGCTCTCGGCTCAGCAAATACCTGCTGTACACTATCATAAATCTCCATCACCTTCCCCCAACGGACACAGGACGCTTTTAAACTATGACAGTTTCTTTCACAACTCAAGGTGCCCTATTTCATCATTCAAACCTCAAGATGTTGACATTTTCTTTCAATGCTCACTGCATCTCAGAAACTTTTCTGTGAAGCCAGAGCATGCTTTAATCTCTGGGAGAAACAGAGAGCCTAAGCATAAACCAGAGGTGTCAAAGAATCAAAGATTCAGATCTGTTCTCCGATCACCAGCCAGTCCAGTACAATAGGAGGTCTGTAGAAGTGTTTCCCAGTCTAGTTAACATTTTGAACAATGAAATTTCCTTCTACAGAGTCATTCTTCTATCATTCTTGTCCCCATAGTAGACAATGCCTATTCCAGAGCCTAACAAATCTCATAAGAAAGGTACGATGCTTATATTTGTGCTCAAGCTAACTGACCGAGCTAGCTCTGAACAGCTTCAGCCGCTCGGAATGGGAACATTTACCAGCACCCTTAAGGACTGCGTTATCTTTTGTCAGAAGAACTCTGAACGTAAGGATGTAATTCTTCTGGGCGTACTATAGGAGCTATACAGTTGGCTGAAGAAGAGAGGAAATTCACTCACCCCTGCACTCCTCAGATCCAAAATGAATGACAGCAGTTGGAAAGAGTTTAGCCTGCAGCAAAAGGGGAAAAGAAGAGATCACCGATTGTAGATGCTTTCACAGTTCGCTGTGAACATTAGAGACAGGTTAGACAGCTACGGACAAATTCACAGAGTTTAAGCTGAGGTCACTGAACCACCTCTAATTCAGAAAAGGGCAAACTTGTGTAGAGCACAGGGCACTTGGAGTAAGACATGAAGCAAAATTCTATGATCTATTCTACTACACACAGATGACGAGACCTGTACAGCAAGTGCTCATCGCGCTGATGAC